CAATAAACCATGGATTATTAGCTCACTATAAAAGAACGGATGATTTACACAATCAACCCCATATATTTAATTAGTCTCCTTTTGATCACCAAATTAATTCTAAATTAATTTTTGATCAATACTAATTAAATAATATTATTAATATATTAGAACTTATAATATATTAATAAACCTTAAGTGTCCTTTCTCCCATTTTTGTCTATCCAAGTGTTGCAATGCCATGCAACCCAAATGGACCATGCCAATCGGGTCAAGTACATTCCAGAAATAGTTATGAACTTAGACACCTAATCCAACAAGAAGGATGCTTTATGAGATATTAAGCTCCAAAGACAATGATCAGCTCCTTTGAGTGTCTTTAGTGATGCAGTGTCATAAAAATCAAGACTTGGACGTGTGAATCAACCCATGCATGAGATATGAGCATTTTGAGATAAGAGAATGAGAGTTTTGGGTGTTTGTGACTTTACCAGCCATGCAAAGGCTTAAAGTCACAGACTTTATGAAGTAAGAGCCCTTAGGGAGTCCAGATCTGTGATATGAGCTAAGGTCTTAACTGATTAAGACCAAATGAGTAAGAAGAGAAAAACTAGGACGTATGCTGAGCGTAATCCCAGTACGCGCAGCGTAGGGTCAGGAATCCCCGATGCATGCATGGCGTTGGAGTACGCCCAACGTAGGCGTCTGGTACGCGCGGTGTACTCGCTTCCGTTGACTTTTAGGGTTTGGTCAATTTGTGGACTATTAAGGCCATGGAGGGGTAAAATGGTCTTTTACCCTTCAGTGAGCTTGTAGAAGGGTTAGTCTGGCTTCTTTGAGAGCCGCTATTAATTAGGGATAATTATCGTATGTGTTAGGCGGAGGCTAGACCAGTGATTCGAGTTCGAGGTTATCCGATTTCTTACAAGGTGAGTTTTCTCACTATACGTACCATGAGTGGTATCTATGTGTGACCGGAGGGTCTTATGTGCTTATTTGAGTTATGTGATATTATGCATTTTATCTGTGTGATATATATGCTATATTCTGTGTTTTACTGAGACAGGACCGGAGGGTCCAACCCGAGTTGTGGGACCGGAGGGTTTCCACTGAGACAGGACCGGAGGGTTCAAACCGAGCGGTGAGACCGGAGGGTCCTCACTGAGACACATGATCGGAGGGTCCACACCGAGACGTATGAGACTGGAGGGTCCATGCGGAGTTATAGCCATGAGAGGCTTATTATTTGTGTATGTGGTATTTTGGGGAACTCACTAAGCTTTGTGCTTACCGTGTGGTGTGATATGTGTTTCAGGTACTTCTCAGGACCGCGGGAAGGCTCCGACATGATTGTACACACCTTTTCGAGACTATGTTGAGGATTCTGGGATTTGACTTTGATTTGTGCGTTTATGTTGACATTGAGACACTTGTGGTTTTTATGAAATATAATATATATATGAGTTTTATGTGTTTTAAAAATGAAAAATTTGGTTTGAAAATTTACGTCGTTACAAAAGGGGTGATCCGATTCAGGAAGCGGGGCAAGCTGGGCCCTAGATACATTGGTCCTTTCAGAGTGATCGCCCGAGTGGGTAAGGTAGCTTATCGGTTGGAGCTGCCTGTGGAGTTGAGTCAGATTCATAACACCTTCCATGTGTCCCAACTGAGGAAGTGTGTAGCAGATGAGACGACAGTGGTCCCCTTAAAGGACATTCAGGTTGATGATCGCCTGAACTACATTGAGAAGCCGGTAGCGATCTTGGATAGGAAGGTGAAGGTCTTGAGGAATAAAGAGGTGCCTTTGGTTCAGGTTCAGTGGCAACATTGGAAGGGATCCGAGTGGACTTGGGAGCCGGAGTCCGAGATGCGGGAGCAGTACCCATAGTTGTTTCCGGAAGATAAATTCAAGGGCGAAGTCTGATTCTAATGGGGGAGAATTGTAACATCCCGACTCCCAGGTATAATATTTAATTAAATTGCATTCATGATGTCAGAGCAACTCGACGAGTTGGATGCCCCAACTCGCCGAGTAGAGGAGTTAATGGCCGCGTGATTTGTAGAGTCTACTCGACGAGTTGGAGGACCCCAAGTCGACGAGTAGGTGCTGAGTGTGAAAACCCTAATTTTCAGGGTTTGTGTCCTATTTAAAGGACCTTAAGCCTTCATTTCCGCCTAACTTATCATCTTAGCACTCAAAGAGAAACCCCAATCGAGCTATATCCTTGTGTAAGAGAAAGAGAGGCTAACACTTCATACTTTGGTGCGTTTTTGGAGGAAGATTAAGGAGCAAAAGGCTTGGGACGAGAGGGAGCTCTTGGATCCGATGTTCATTCATCCCTAGCTTCTATTTGAAGGTAAAAAGTTACTACCTTGATCATTATTTGGTTAGATCTCTTTTCTAGGGAGTTTAGGGCCTTTTTCCATCCCTTTTTGAGTGCTTGAGTTGTTTGAGCTTGTCATGGAATTGAGACTTCAGATTTGGACAATATTAGGTCCCTTGAGCCCAAAGGTCCATGCTTTATCAAGCTAGTGGCAAGCTTTTACGCATTAAACCCTATATAGAGCTTGTTTTGGCATTTCGAGCCCTAGATGCCATGCATTGACATAAAGCTTGCAGCTTTACGTGGTATTTCAGCCTTCGGAGGCTAGATCTAGAGTTTGGGACATTATTTCTTCTTAGAATCGACTGAATGAGAAATTGATCTAGAGGGACTCGACGAGTGCATGAGCCAACTCGACGAGTCAGCGAGGGTTTTCCCCGATAGTCTGGACACGCTACAACTCAGCGAGTTGATGAAACAACTCGACGAGTTGAGTTGGAGTTTTTCCGATCCTTCTGAGAACAGGAGGAACTCGACGAGTCGCATAGGTGCACTCGACGAGTTGGGTCAACATGGACTGTTGACTCGAGTGTTGACTTCCGTTGACTTTTAGGGTTTGGTCAATTGTGGACTTTGGAGACTATGGAGGGGTAAAATGGTATTTTCACCCTTTTTGAGATCTAGTAGAGGAGCTAGCTTAACATCTCAGAGTGGTTATTACAAATTGCTTATTAGAGATAATTATATTATGTAGGCGGAGTCTAGACTGTTCGTGGGGGTACTAGATCTACTTGCTTACTTACGAGGTGAGTATTCTCACTATACTTACCTGAGCGGTAATACTGTGTGACCGGAGGGTCTTACTTGAGTTATTAACTGGAGGGTCCTATGTGCTTATACTGAGTTATGTGATATTATGCATTTTGTCTTTGTGATATATGCTATATTCTGTGGTTTACTGAGTTAGGACCGGAGGGTCCAAACCGAGTTATGAGACCGGAGGGTCTTCACCGAGATACATGACTGGAGGGTCCGACCCGAACTGTGAGACTAGAAGGTCTTCACTGAGACACATGACTAGAGGGTCCACACCGAGATTATGTTTGAGGATTCTAGGATATTATCAGGATCGCGGGAAGGCGCCGACTTGATTGTACACACCTGTTCGAGATTATGTTTGAGGATTCTAGGATATTATCAGTTGTTTGTTGATTTGTGTTTTTTTTGACAATTGACATATTGTGGTTTTGAGAAAATGTGATATCGAGTTCTTACGTGATTTAAAATTTTAAAAAAATTGTTTGAAAATTTACGGTTTTACAAGTTGGTATCAGAGCCTTAGTTTGAGGGATTCGGATGTACTCTCGGGTATGTCTGGACTCAAACTGAGGATTTGAGAATTTTTTTCTAAAAAGAAATGATTTTTCTAAAAACGAGTAAGAGCTTTTAAGAGATAATGAGACGGAGCAATGTGTACAATCAACCAGAGCCCGAACGGTGATTTCCCAAAATACCATTACTTGTTTGTATTATGAGATATTTATAAGATATTAGAGATGCATGCTAGAGGATAAGCTAGGTATTTCAAAATTTAGAGCTAGAGTTGCCTGATTCATGATGCCTTAGCCTAGGGTATGCTATTGATTGATCTTATCCGCTATTTGCTCTGTGTGTGTACTGAGTAAGGGAAACATAGCAGGAATCATAACAACTATAAATATCATTAAACCATATATTATATTTAGTTTTATTCATTAGTAAGCTCAGGTAGAGGTCATTAAGACAATTGAGATTATAGAATTTTTAAAGATTTATATATTATCATATAATTCAAAACAAACAATGTTTATACCAACTTATTATAAGATTTATTATATAAAGGTAACAACGTCATTTATATATTTAAAAAACATATATTTGTAAAGATTTCAAATATATTGTTTTATTATGTCTAACGCACGAATATTCGTCTAATATATATATATATATATATATATATATATATATATGAGTTGGGAAGATTTTTCTCTTTTTTATTATCTTAAATAAAATTAAAATAGATTTAAGGGTACAATAGTTTATACATTAAATATTAAATATTAAATGAAAGTATAAAAACACTCCTTGAAAAAATCATTTCCCTAATCTATTTTAATAAATGAAAATCTTTTTGCCACATGTCATACTCTCATTGATTTGGCCACATGATATTTTGTGGTTATTTTCAATTAAATTTTTTCCACATGACATTTTGTGGTTTTTTCTATTTTATTAAATTTCACATATTATTTAAATATAATAATTGCAATAAATATAATAATAAAAGCATATCAATTTCAATAATTGACTTTCCTTTTAATTTCAATATTTCTAAATTAAAACTCCATTAGTTTTCTTTGTTTATTTATCCAAATTATCTGTTTAAATTTAAAAGAGAAAAAAAAACATTTTAATTTTAATAATCCAATATTTTTCTAATTTTTCTTATCAATTTAAACTTTTTCAAATGTTTGGAATTTTCATATTTAATTTTTTTAATAAACTCATGTAATACATGGGTCTTACACCTAGTCTTTGTATCAGGATAAAACCACATGAACCCTTTATTAGATTTTCAAAACATATGCACCAAACCAAGTTATTAAAACCTCTCTCTCTGTGTGTGTGTGTGTGCGTGTGCGTGTGTGTGTTAGAGATATGGCAGCTACTACTACAAGCTCCTCCAATTGTAGCAACTTTTTCCACACCGGAGGTAATAACGTAGAGGCCAGCAGGGGCCGAGGAGCTCCATCCCACCAGGGGTGTGCAAAGGTAGATGGGGTGGCTTTGTGGCTCATGAATGGTGTTGCTAATGCGTTTTTCGCGTCCCTCCAAAGATGCTCTTGCATTCGTATTGCCACCGTCGATGATCACGAAGAAGATTCCAACGACTTGCCACTCATTTTCAATGATGGGAATCTGCGGCATCATGATGGTACTGGTAATACCACCACCACCTGGAGGAAAACAAACAAACCAGGAAAGGGTCGAGTGACTTTGCTGAGGAATAAGTATAACAAATCAACGACTACAATATAGATAGCCTTTGATTTGGTATGTAATTTTATTCTTGCTAAGTTAAGATCATATGGAATTACATATGATTTTTCTGTTTGTTTTTGTGTTTGTATCATCTTTTTGAAAATACCAATGAAGAAATAATGGGAAAAAGCTAAACACATGTGAGCTGTGTTTTACCTGTTAATGAGAGTAATGTTTGTGAATTATGATCGATACAACTAAATATTCCTTTTCTTGTGAACCAATAATTGATGCATATCCCTATTTCCTCATGCTCATGATCATGATCATGATAATTAATTAAATAATAATCATTTTTATTTCATCCCTTTTCTCAATGACAAATCTTATAAAACTTACTAACATTTCTTTTAGTCGTAGAGATTATCTATGATATACTCTAATTTTTGTGAGTTATGATCGATACAACTAAATACCCCTTTTCTTGTGAACCAATAATTGATGCATATCCCTATTCCCTCATGCTCATGATCATGATCATGATAATTAATTAAATAATAATCATTTTTATTTCATCCCTTTTTCTCAATGACAAATCTTATAAAATTTACTAACATTTCTTTTAGCCGTAGAGATTATCTATGATATACTCTAATAAAAGTTTCTTACTCTCCATAGATTTTCTCGTAACTGTGAGAATCACAATATAAGTTGTCAACTAGGAATGATAATCTCTTGGCATTTTCTTGTTTCTTAAGTCATTACAAAAGTTAAAGACTGGGATATGTACCCGCATCATTTTCCCTTTTTATATCATAACATATACAATGTCTTCAATATCAACTAAAATACATAACTAAATTAAAATAAAACACTAGAGAACATTTTTACCTATAGATTTTTTTTTCAAACAAAACACACATGTACAATGCACATAACGTTTTAGTTAAACGTTTTTCTACTTATGTGCATATGATGTACATTTTACGTTATATTCAAATTTTTTTTTCCAAATATAGGTATGGGTAGAGGTTAAAAAATGAGGAATTTACATATTTTTAGTTATTTTTTTCGATAGAAAATAAGCTTTAAAAAACATTTTACCAAATAATGTGCATGTGATGCATATGTTACATACTTTTTTTTCTCGAATATCAATATAGAAAGAGGTTTAAAAAAATGATGAATTCAAATATATATACTTTTTTTATATAAGATAAACTATAAAATGAGGGTTGAAAAGTGATCATATCGATCCTAAATAAATTAGTGATCCTAAGAGTGGAGGGAGTGGTGTCACACTCTCTTATGAAACCACACTGACACATAGGCGGCATGTGTGTTTTTACCATATAAATATGGTTTGTTGTCACACCCAAGGAGTGGTGCCATACTTGGGCATTTTTTTATTTATTTAATAAATAAAAACATTATTTAAAAAAAAAAATATTTCGTTAATTAAAAATAAAAGTACCATCAAATTGCATAACTTAAAAAAAACTAAAAATTTAGAAAAGCAAACTATAAATATTAAATCTACAACTTAAGAAAAAAACAAACAAAACAATAAGATGGTAAAATATAAAGTGTGTGTGAGTTTGTTTGGTTAAAAATTTATAAGGTTTGGGAGGTTTAAATAGTAGTGGGTAAAGGTTAAAAGGGAAAAAAAATTAAATAAATTTCGATCTTTAACAGTCATTAAGTTGGGAAAATGGAGAAAGGGAGCTCTCCCATGGGATACCATAGTGCGGCCCTAGCCGCACCCTAGCCGCAGTCAGGGGGCGGTGTTCGTTCTTATGTAGCATAGGAGGTGCGACAGAGGTTAAAAAACCAGTGATCCTAATGGATCCAACTTCTCTCTCTCTTTCTGTGTGTGTATATATATATATATATATATATATATATATATATATATATATATATATATATAATGTTAAGTTATTATGAGAACTCAAAGATTTGTGAGAACCGAAAACTATTAATCCGTTTAACATTTTTGAAAACCAACATCACTATTGGACTTCTAGAGCGGCGTCTAAGCTGGATCTAGGAAAAAAATGACGGACTTTTAAAATAAATGTGCATATATATATGCTTATACGCATATTTTGTAATTTTTTCAAAAATCTTCAAAACCAACACCACAATGAGACAATAATACCAACGTTTAAGAGAATCGCAACTTGAAAACGTTTATTTATATATATATATATATATATATATATATATATATATATATATATATATAAAAATAAATAAGTGCACATTTCCAAATGGGTAGGTATCGGAGAATTCTACTTTCTTTTTGTAATTGAAGAGACATCTTTTTGCATGCTTGTTTATGATGTTGTCCTCATCATATTGTTTGATTATTTTACTTCTTCTTTTCCCCCTTGAATTAATTATTAGCATAGGATCCAAACAAAGATTCTTATTTTACACCAACATAATAATCCCAACAAAGATTGTTTCTTTATGTAATTAAAGGGTATGTTGTCCTCATCATATTGCTTGATTATTTTACTTCTGCAGCGTCGTGTTAAACACGACTTACCGAGGTTTCTTGGGGAAAATTACAAATCTTGTAAGATGGTTATTAAATGTGTTGGTCATTAACAATAATTAAATATGCTGGCCATTGGAGTAATAGATACATAAAAGTTCTAGGAACATTATTCAAGGCTTTCTAGTAACATTTGTATTTAGAGAAGCACAAATGACCGATTGTTCCGTTCGCCGATCTAAAAGGTAGTTATAAAAGTCGATATGAAAATCCAACCGACCTCCACCACTATCCGATGTGTCATTAGTATTGCCGGTTACACCACTAAAAGTGTTTGGCATATCGCCATATTTTTTTAGCATAAATGTCAAACAAACTATTAAAATAATGATTGAAAGATGTGATATTGTTGCAAAATTTTTATTAAGTAAGGTCTCTACATCCGTCACATTGATATAACGGTTCAAAGCCGTGACGCAAATAAAAAGTGATGTCATGTCTTTAAAACATTTTACTAATTTTGTTCTCATTGGTTGTGTAACCAAAACAATATTTCAATTTTTTTAAACGCTCCATGTAAAGCCATTAACCATAAATCGTTTAGTAATAAAGCACATGTATGATAATACACCCTCGATAAAAAAGTTGTTGACTGTTTAAATTTTTTTAACATTTTCACAAACTCTTCCATTAAATCGCAACCATAATCTGAAACCAGGTGTTTTCATTTTGTAAGTGTGTCATAAAATAAATGCAAAACAATTCTTTGACGTGTCAATATTTCAAACATCATGGACGTCGAACTCCATCCAGTGGCAACATCTTAAAGCCTACACTATGGAGTTACTTTAATGGAAAGTGTAAAACGCCGATATTTTTACATTATAGCTTTGTTTTTCCAAAATTATTGTTAACAAAAATCTGAAAATTTCGAACATAGAATTTATATTTTTTTACCATCTTGCACTGCTAGATTAATTATGTGAGAAACACATCAAGTATGAAAAAACCGAGCCATCCGAAATAGGTTTATATTTTTCAATTAATCTTTTTACGGAGATAATATTGTTACTTGCATTGCCAAAAAATAGAGAAAATTATGTCACTTAAATTAGAAAACTCTATTAACACTTTCTAAAATTGCAAATAAATGTGCCGCCGTGTGAGGATACACAAAAAGTGTAACACTTGTTTTTCATATCAAGTATTATGATAAGGAGTGTAAATTGTCTGTAGGACAAGTAAGAAGGGTTGAGTATTGTTGAGTTGAAAAACTCTTAGATCGATTAGATCTTCAACAGATTAAACAATAAAATCAAACAAACAC